AACCAGACGGCTGGCGGTTCAAACCCACCAGCCACTCCTCGGAAGGAAGGTTGGGCAATCCTACTTCCGTAGTGACACTGCCTCGGAAACCCAAGGAGGGGTCACTATGAGTCAGGGCCAGCTCAACAGCACACAACAACAACAACGTTATATAAATGGTCAGCTTATATGCCTGTCTTTTGTTTGGCTGAAAGCCATAGGAGTGGGTTACACAACCAGAACTTGTTAACATGATATCTTAGTAAGTCTTAGTTTATCAGCCTTACTGTCTGTCTTCTTGTGAAGTTGGCCTCTGAGCGACTGAAAACTGAAGTTTGAATCATCTTAGAAACCTTTTTTTTCCCCAAAATTAAAATTCTTGAATTGGTTTTCTTTCTCAGGGAGGAGCTTTTTATTTCATGGAGCATGTAGCAGCGAAGCCTTCAACCTGGAATTACTTCTGGCAACAGGTCCTGAATCCCGTCTGGTTCCTTCTGTTTGATGGGTGCCACCTGACCAGAGAGAGCTGGAGGTCTCTGGAGCGGGCCAGCTTTTCGAAACTGAGGCTACAGCACGTTCAGGCCCCACTGTCCCTGGAGCTGGTGCGCCCCCACATCTTTGGATATGCTGTGAAATAGTGTGGTGCAGCAGTAAGCACAGTGGCCCAAGTAATGTAAGGCTTCAGTTTTACAACTAAAATACTAATTGGCAGAAGGGATATCCCTGTTTTGAGTTAAAGTTGAATTTCATCCTTAAAAGTTTTCTGTTGTATTCCTTATAGCCATTTTTCATGATTTCCCAAAGAATTTAAAAAACAGCAACAACAAAATAGTTTTGAGCTCTCCCTTAAAAGGAAAAATGAACTTTGGTGATTTAAAACCAAAACCAAACTAACTGCTGTCAAATCGTTTTTCGAACTCATAGCGACCCCTCCTTGGGTCTCCAAGGGTATCACTACGGAAGTAGATTGCCCAACCTTCCTTCCGAGGGGTGGCTGGTGGGTTTGAACCACCAGTCTTCTGGTCAGCAGTCAAGTGCCTTAGGCACTATGCCACCAGAGCTCCTGTGGTCATTGAAGTCCACCATTATTCCTGAATCTTACTGTATTCAGTAATGTCAGACTTTTTTCCAAATGTATCATTTAAATTGTTAACGGATTTTAATTCCATCTCCTTTTTGTGAGCTTGGTGCTAATAAGCAGTTAAATAAATCACTCAGAAGAAGATTTTTTAAAGGGAAAAGTGGAAAAATCTCTATAATCCACTGAATAAACACACTGAAAAATGGGAAATCCATGTCTAAATAGCACAAACTTTGTGCAAAAGAAATCTGAATCTGTTTGTTGTTCTTTGTCACTGGGCCGCACCCAGTTCTGCCCAGCTTGTTAGGTCTTTTATTCCAGTACTCCACCAGTTTGTTTTTCTGCATTCCATTCCTCAACTCTTAACATAAAGACTGTACTCGACACTTTACAAAAAAAAAAGTACTAAAAATTAAAAACTCATTGCCATCTAGTCAATTCTGACTCATAGAGACCCTATAGGACAGGGGAGAGCTGCCTCATCAACATGTCAGCTAGCAGCTGAGTGCTTAACCACCGCACTACCAAACCTTCTTACTTGACACTTAGTCTATCCATAATATTGTTTGAAGCAAATAAACTTTGGGGTTCATTTCCTTATTATCTAGTATAATCTTTGCTGAATGTAGTAGTTTGGAGGCGAGGATAGGATAAGGCCCATTGGAATTAGGAAAACCTTGTATAATATACTTAAGGTATTTGGCGGTGAGTCCACCAGCTGTTCTGTGGAAGAAAGATGAGTCAGTTTGCTTCCCTAAAGATTTACAGCCTTGGAAACCCAATGGGGGGGTCACTATGAGTCAGAGTTGATTTGATGGCCATGAGTTTGGTTTTTGGTTTGCTTGTATAATATAAAGTGTAAGAGCCACTAAAAACCAAGCAACTCAAGAGTCTGGAAAGAGGAAGTAGACAAGTATTTTTTGGATTATTCTGATCAAATTCCACTTCTGACCCAAGATGATTTCTTTGTTCTTTGCAACTCTGAAAACCTATGAAGATCATCATGTTTTGTAAACAAATGTTAGGTTGGTCAGCCAACAATAGTTTGTATGTATTTTAATAAATTTAGTGTTTTTTTCTGAGATGAATTTGCAAAGGGATTATTTTTAAATATCAAATGAAACAATAAGTTCACATTCATTTTAGGAATAGAAATAAAATAAATGATAAATATCTTTGCTAATTTGGTTTCCTTTTTCTTAATGTCTCTGGGAGGTCTTTCCTTCCTTGTGGAAAATTAAGCTGCGATTTTCCTTGCTACAGCTAGCTAGAGCTCTGGTGGCATAGTGCCTAAGGCACTTGACTGCTAACCAGAAGCCTGGTGGTTCAAACCCACCAGCCATTCCTCGGAAGTCAGGTTGGGCAATCTACTTCCGTAGTGATACTACCTCAGCAGCCCACTCAACGGCACATGACAACAACAACACAGCTAGTTAGTAAATTTTAGAATAAGCGATCTTGGAAGAAGCAGAATGAGTTTTGAAAAGTTCAAGCCAAGACCCCATTTGTGAAACCCACAGAGCAGAAGGAAAGGAAGTTTAGTTCTTTAAATGACCTCTGGACCATGAAGCCTTGTCAAAATGGCTCCTCATGAAGAGGCTGCCACGTTCAGCTGAAGCCTCCAGAGCTCTGCAACATAATTCTCCTCCCTCTGCAGTCTCCCCAGTGTAGAAACTTCCTTAATGTACACCCTCACTCTTGGTTACAGCAGCCTGGTGACTGAGAAGATGAAGAGCCACTGGTAGACAGGGTGAAATGTAACCACCATGTTGGGAGCTGAGTATTACTGAAATACAAATTCCTAGACACATTCTTATCAATTCCCTCTTGTTTTAAGTGGTGTGGCAAATATTAGCCTCAGTTTCTATAGAGAAAACTGAGGTGTAGAGAAATAAATAAATCAACTTTCCTATGTTCTACAAGTTACTGAGCAAGTCTTAGAAGCCCTCGTTCCTCAAACTACAAAATGTGCTTTGACATCAATCATTGCCACCGTATTAACTTCTCACTGATTTCTTCCCCAGGACCAGAGAACATAGTTTACAATCATTCAAAGAACCTGAGGAGGTGACTTAAACCTATGAAAAATAGAAACAGAGAAAAAGAAAAACATGTCTGATGTTGGTTAGGATTCCTTTGATTGCAAGTGACAGAACTCCCAACCCAAATGGGCTTAAGCAGAAAAAATGCATTTTCAAATTAGCGAAAAGCAGAGGGGCAGAAACATCAAGCACAGCTTGAGCAGGAGTCAGGTAATGTCATCCGGAGCCAAAAAGTCTCCAGGGTCAGGTTTGCCCTTCTCTCTGTCCTATCACATGGGGTATAGGAGTGTTGGTGGCAATAGCTCCAATCTATGCTTCCAGGGTCCCAGAGCCAGTGGAAAAGAGCAAGTCCACTTCCACAAAACTTCTGCCAAAGTCCTAAGTTTAGTCTCATTGGCTCTGATTGACCCCCCTGAGTTGGAAGCCAGCCCTGAACTAATTACTATAGCAAGAGGGGATGGATTATGCTAATTGGCTCAAGTGTAGTTCTTAATGCTTCATCCCAAGGCTGAGCTCACTTAGACCATGTGGTAGATAAAATGTATCTACCCTAGAGGATTATTGCGAGACTAAATGAAGTGATGCACTTGGCACTTAATAAAATATTTATTGAGTGTCTATTGTGTGCTCGGTTCTGGATGCTTGGCTTGGAGCCCTGAAAAAGGACTACATGGTCCCTGCTCTCATGGAACATGCAGTTCTGATCATTGCTGTCTATGAGGGTTCTCCCTCATAGCAGTGAAGTGGTAAGAGAATGTGATCTGACCTGCCCTGGGGGAAGGGGAGTCAGAGGTTCCCTTGAGGAAGTGACACCTGAGCTGAACTCCAAAGGCTGAATAAAGAGTACTTGAGCCTAATGGAACAGCTTGTGCCAAGGCTGCAGAAGGAGAGGGAACACAATATGTTCAGGGAACTGAAAGACCCAGAAGGGCAGAGGCTGGGCTGACCACTATCCATCAGCCTCTTCCTAATTTTCTTAAAAACTGAACCTGTGAACCTAAAACTGATTTCAATGGCTGACAAAAAAAAAAAAAAAAATTATAAAACATTCTGTTCCGAACTGTTCTTCTTCTCGTTGTTTCTTTTCAATTCCTGCATACTTTATATTTGAAACAAAGTGAGGAAGTAAACATTGCATACTAGCTCCTTTTGAACTCTTGACCCTAACATAAGCCTTTTCCTTTGGTATTGCTTTGGAAAAACAGAACTTAACAAAACTGAAATGCAACATTTGTTTATCTGTTAAGGCAACTGAAAGTGTAAAGAACCATAGCAGACTAATGTCAACAAAAGCAAAAAAGAAAACTCTTCAGCGTCACTTTAACTATCTCAGTATTTAAAACCAAAAGCATGTGGACTATGTTAAATAAGTAACCTGAATTTCCTGTTGAACCACAAAACAACAAACAAACTCACTGCCCTGTGGATCCAACTCATAGTGACCCCCTCATTGGGTTTCCAAGGTGGTATTTCTACAGAAGTAGCTTGCCCAGTCTTCCTTCTGAAAAGTGGCTGATGGGTTTGAACCACCAGCCTTCCGGTTAGCAGTCAAATGCCTTAGGCACTATGCCACCAGAGTTCCCAGAGAATCGGGCAGAGGTCATAATTAACTGAGGGCACAGAAAATGAACTTAGGATGACCCCAAAAAAAAAAAACAAAACCACTGCCGTCAAGTCAGTTTTGACTCATTGATCCCCATTGGGTTTCCAAGGCTATAAATCTTTATGGAAGTAGACTGCTTAATCGTCTTCCCACGGAGCAGCTGGTGGATTTGAACCACCAACCTTCTGGTTAGCAACCAAATGCCTTACTCTGCCACCAGAGCTCCTTATAAGATGACCAGTGTTGCTGTTTCTAGTAGTAATATATGTAGTAGTTTATCTGTGGTAATATAAAGACCAACCAAGGTATTATTTTGTTTCTAAAGGAAACCTATAGAAAACAACATTGGAACATGCCTGAATGAACAAGGACTATCACATTCAGAATTTACCATCCTGAAAAGTAAAAATCACTTAGGCCCTATAGTTTTATCTCAGGCTGCATCCTTCTTACTCTCTAAAATGGATCAGACACTGAAGTCAGCCTTTTTCTCAGAATGATTCTTTTCTTCCATGACTTTCATAGCTAATAATAAAAAACGTCTGTTTATTTAGTGCTTTCGTTATGTCAGGCACTGAGTTTTAACACATTCATTTCATACAGTTCTCATAACTCTACAAGACAGGTATGATGATCTCCATTTGACAAATGGGAAAAAAGATTTATGGAGGTTTTGTGACTTGTCCAAAGCCACACAATGAGTGGCCACACCACTAGTTGCGTGTAGTTCACATGACTCTGAAGGAGCCTTTGTGGCAGTGGTTAAGCACTCAGCTGTTATCCAAAAGGTCAGCCATTCAAACCCACCAGATGCTCCATGGAAAAAAGATCTAGCAGTCTGCTTCTGTAAAGACTACAGCCTCACAAACCTTGTGCACAGTTTTACTCTGTCCTTTGAACCATCAGCCTTCT